GAAATATTGGGAAATTCTGGAACAAGATGGAGACAGAATAAAATTGCAGAGCTTTGAAAAATTGAAAAACAAAGTGCGAGATTGGCTCCATTATTATCAAATAATGGAGGCATACAATCTGGACAAAAAAGTTGGTTTCCAGGTGGAAAAATCAAAATTGGAAACAGAATTGTTAGATCCAAAAATCAAGAATTTGTCAAGAATGTATAACTTGCTGTTGAAATGGAACACTCAGGATGAAACGGTGAAATCAGCTATGATTAAATGGGCACAAGATGTTGGACATAACATAATGATGGCTGACTGGGAACAGCTATGGACCACAGGTATGAAATTCACAGCATGTAATGCCCTAAGAGAAAATTTAATGAAAATTATTTATAGGCAGTACATGACACCAGTCAAGCTTGCAAAAATTTACCATTTGCCCGACAATAAATGTTGGAAATGTAATGAGACCGAAGGTACATTATTTCACCTTTGGTGGACATGCCCAAGGATTAAGACATTCTGGGAGATGATTTATAACGAAATGAAAAAGGTATTTAAATATACCTTACTGAAGAAACCAGAGGCCTTTCTCCTGGGCATGGTTGGCCAATTGGTGCCAAAGAAGGACAGAACTTTTTTTATGTATGCTACAACAGCAGCAAGAATACTCATTGCAAAGTATTGGAAGACACAAGATCTACCCACTCTGGAAGAATGGCAGATGACGCTGATGGACTATATGGAACTGGCGGAAATGACTGGCAGAATCCGAGACCAGGGAGAAGAGTCGGTGGAAGAAGACTGGAAAAAGTTTAAAGACTATTTACAGAAATACTGTAAAATTAATGAATGTTAGAAAAATGTTGGAATGAAGTTATATGGCTTTAGTAGAAATGTTATAAGGAATTAAGTATAAATAGATTAATAGAGTATTAAAGGGAAAAATAAGGTTAGAATGTGTTAAGATAATTATAGGATAGAAAGCAGAGGAAGATGGAAAGGAATTGCTGAAACAATTAATAGAAGTGGAATACAAAAAGGGAGGTGTGAGGAGGTCATTGAAATAAGTGAATGAAAGATAAAACACTGAAATTGTTTGATGTGTTTTTAAACTGTTTTTGCTTTGTTTTGTTAGTTTAATGTGTTAGAGTTATGTAGTGTTTTTGTATTGTATTGTTCTTTTTTTGTAGTGTTTAAATTGTTGGAAAAGTAATAAATATTATTTTCAAAAAAAATTAATAATCTTCTAAAAATGCTTCAAGAGTTCCTTTCTTGCTTAAATATGCACAAGATTGTAGTCTGCAACTTTAAGCTTTGCAAGAGTTGATCATCAGGTTAAAGTGCCAGTCTAGGCATGTCTACTCAAAAGTGAGTCACATTGAGTTCAATGGGATTTACTTCCATATAAGACAGACCTAGGCAACCTTCGGCCCTCCAGATGTTTTGGCCTACAACTCCCATGATCCCTAGCTAACAGGACCAGTGGTCAGGGATGATGGCAACTGTAGTCCAAAACATCTGGAGGGCCGAAGGTTGCTTATGCTTGATATAAGAGAATATTCTGAGGATACACCTGTATTTGGCTATATTGCTTTGTATTTGGAATACTGTATATACATATATATTTAGCTACTACTGGTTTTGCCACAATTTTCTAGGATTGTGTTCTGCAGGTGAGCCTTAGCATTGCAAGATGTTGGTTATTATAATTTAAATGCACAGTGAAAGTCTGCACTCCACTGATCCCGTTTCAGTATCACCCACAACCTGCAGAGATTTGCACATGAAAGACCAAGGGAAATTATGAATGTATGGCCTTGAAGGCTAATTCTAAGAAAGTACAAACCATTTCTAAGAACATGATCATTTGGAACTCCCTGCCTACTGAGATCAAACAGATGTCTTCACTGTACTCTTTCTGATGCCTGCTAAAAACATTCGGGTTTAGACAAACCTACCTAGATGCTTAGAAAGTTGAAATAACTTTAATCTGTTTTAGTATCCTAACTTTTGCATGTTGCAAAGTAGGGTTGTGAAATTTTTCTTGATTTTTCTTGGGTTTTTGTGTGTGTTTTATCTTTTATCTTTATGCTGTGAACCGCCCTGATATCTACAGATGAAGGACAGTATGCAAATTTACTAACTAATAATATATATATAAACTGCTTTAAAGTTTTTTGCAATGAAGTGGTGTATACATTTTATGAAACAAAACAACAAAAAGACTGTATAATATGTTTTCAGCTTAAGTGCCATGGAAGTTCAGGTGGGAAACTTACAGTTCCCATGCTTCTTGTTACATGAGTGATTTTGTTAGTGTTATGTACTGAAGTTCTCACCCTGGGCCAGCAGGGGGATACTGTAGATAGTTATGCAAATGAAAGATCGAAAGTGATGTTCAATGATTGGCTAGTTACAGAAAATGGTTACTGTTGCATTCTAGTGGAGCTCTATATAAGCAGGCTGACTGAGCTCCTCAGTTCAGTTCTGTTCCAGCTTACAAATAAAGACCTGCTTTGGAAGAATCGCTGTGTCGTCTGATATGTTCGCCCACAACTTAACAGTTAGCACATTTCTAAGCAAACAATTTTTTACCCTTATATTTTCCTCTTTTTATTTTTCCCCCAGAAAATTGGTTAAGGGTGCACCCCTGTACTGTGTACACATTGATATCTGAGTAAGTCTCAGTGAACTCAATGATGCTTTGTTCTGAGGAGACTTGTATAGGATCGCAGGATTTTCAGAAGCTCTATTGCAGTAAGGAGGGAGAAAAATAACTACATTGTAGTTATAGAAAAGCATTTGCATCAACCCTGTAAGGTCGGCCATTTAAGTGTTGCTGGCATCTGTCTCAAAAGACAATGGAGTGCACCTCCGGGGGTCAAGTCAAACTGCTGTAGTAGCAGTACCAAAGTGACCTCCCCAGGCTGCAAGCCTGGGCAAGTTTGTATGATGGCCCTGGGCTGCCCAGGTGACAGGACCCCACTCTCGGCCTCACTGATATGGTCCAAAGGAAAGCAGAGCAATACATTTGGTACCAGCGGGAAGGAGACGTCATCCAACTGTCTTAGGGACAAATCCCTCTGGTGGTACCTCTGGTTACATACTTAATTCGTTCCGGAGGTCTGTTCTTAACCTGTAGCTGTTCTTACCTTGAAGCACCACTTTAGCTAATGGGGCCTCCCACTGCTGCTGCGCCGCTGCCACGCGATTTCTGTTCTCATCCTGAAGCAAAGTTCTTAACCCAAGGTTCTATTTCTGGGTTAGCGGAGTCTGTAACCTGAAGCGTATGTAACCTGAAGCGTATGTAACCCGAGGTACCACTGTACTTCTTAGCCTTTTCTTCCCCTGAAGATATCCCACAAGGCAGAGGAGGTTTTAGGATCAGAATTTTCCTTCACTGCCCTTCATTTCCTTCTGCAGCATTCACAGAAACCACCTTTTTATCCATTGTGAGTCTGGTCAACTCAATCTGCTGGAGCCTGTCTTCGCATGTAGGAGAATTCCCTAACTCACCCAGGGTTTGAGACCCATCGGCCACCATCACCATGCAAGGATGTCACCTTACTGCACCTTATAGACAAGCACACACACAAGATATTTTGATGCCCGAGGCAGAACATCCCCAACGGCAACTCTCATTGTGGCATTTAAAAACAACAACAATAAACTAGGCTATATATTGTCTCCCTGCTTATTTAACTTATATGCAGAATTCATCATGCGAAAGGCTGGGCTGGATGAATCCCTAGCCAGAATTAAGATTGCCAGAAGAAATATCAACAACCTCAGATATGCAGATGACACAACCTTGATGGCAGAAAGTGAGGAGGAATTAAAGAACCTTTTAATGAGGGTGAAAGAGGAGAGCGCAAAATATGGTCTGAAGCTCAACATCAAAAAAACAAAGATCATGGCAACTGGTCCCATCACCTCCTGGCAAATAGAAGGGGAAGAAATGGAGGCAGTGAGAGATTTTACTTTCTTGGGCTCCATGATCACTGCAGATGGAGACAGCAGCCGCGAAATTAAGAGACGCCTGCTTCTTGGGAGAAAAGCAATGACAAACCTAGACAGTGTCACGAAGAGTCGGACACGACTAAACTACTAAACAACAACAACAAATTGACAATTTGCTGCTCTGTGGTGGTACCTCCAATTTGTCTGCCTCAACAGTTATGCTTCTTCACCCTACCTAACGGTCAGGCTGGCCTTGAGGCCAGGCTTGGGTTTACTGGAATGCTTCTTTCCAGGAAAAAGATACATTGTGTTGGGGAGAATTCGCACGGGAAAATAAGCTTTGCTTCATCCTCTTCAGGGCAAAATGAAGCACATTATGCACTTGCATGACAGACGGTGGGACTCCATCTCTGGCTATTCCTCATCCGGAGGGAATAGGAGGTGCCGATTCCTCTCGAGCTACAATAAACTCAGTGAGGTCATGGGACAGTTTTTTTTCCTCCCCCTCTCCTCATTCCATCTGCATGATGACACCAAATCCTACTACTACTTTGCTGAATTGAATTTTGAAGGCAAGCCAAAGGAGAACGTTTGCTGGGACTGGGAGCGGCTAGGCACTCTGGCCAAGCTAGGGGGACCAGCTGAAGGGAGGAGGCTCTGTCCACAGTGCAAAGGAACCGAGTCCCTCAATGACAGTGAAGGGAAGGAGTTGTGTCTCAATTTTTTTATATTTTTATTTTTTCGCAGAGGGGGATTTTGTAAAGACATCTTTCTAAGCGTGCAATCGACATAGTAAGTGGGTACAAGACAGCACATAGATGTCGGGAGGTTAGAAGAGAAGAAAAGAAAGGAAAGACAGAGTTGTGTTCAGTTAGAATTATTTTGAATTGTGTGGTTATCAGTTAGAGCAAGCAAGCCTTCTGGTCATAGAAAGTGGGGAGGGAGATAAAGGAGCATGCTGGGCACCAGTTGGTGAAAAAACAAAAATGTGCACAAAATTTGCAAGTAGCTTTAACTGATTGTCTCTCCTTCTTCCTCACTTTCCAGGGATGATGGCCTGTGGAGCTCAGAAGCTGCTGTGTCTTGTAGCTCTCATTGCCCTGTCAACTGGTGAGTCTATCCGGTGGAAGCTAAAATAGGATTTGCCATATTTTTCCTGATGCCTATATGCTAATATAGAAGCTATTGTTCTGTGATAAAAAGGATTTGATACAGAAGATGCACCAAGGGCAAGAGAGGACAGGAGGAGGAGGAGGACCAGGCTAGGGTGAAAGGGACATTTGCCCAGGGGCAAAATTGACATGGAGGCTGTTCTATACTGACAAAATTTAAGTTCAGAGTCAGATCAGTTTGTGCATGTGTGTGTGTGTACTTGAGGAGCACGAGCTTTCATTGACAGAGGCTGGGTGGCCAACTGTCATGGATGCTTTAGTTGCGATTCCAGCGTTGGACTAGATCATAGCTGTCAAGCGTCCCTTATTTGGCGGGACAGTCCCTTATCCCAGCGCCATGTCCCACTGTTGTCCCTTATTGATGTCCCTTAAATAAGCTACTGAAGGTAATGAAGCCCTTTCTATATCCAGCTGTCCTTTGTCAACAACAAATTGTTGCTGTTTTTTGTGTTGAATATATGCTATATGGTAATTTACGGACCTAATAGGTATCTAAAGCCATTTGCATGCAACAAAATATGTATTTTATCAAAGTAATTGTTGATCCCTTATTTTGGCTGCTGATCCCTTATTTTCGAGGCTGCTGGTCCCTTATTTTCAAATCTGTAAGTTGACAGCTATGGACTAGATGACCCTCAGTGTCCCTTCCAACTCTACAATTCTGTGATTCTAACATTTCATCAGGTGCTGAAATGAAGCAAATGACAACAAACATTTTAGAAGGAAACCTCACTGAATCTTCATCTTAATAGCAATAGATCATAATTCCTTCCATCAGATTAAAGAATCCAGTGATTTGTTCAGGCAACGAAATATTTGGATGTGCTCTTTTCCTGCAATCTCACTTTCCTTCTATCTGCTTGAACCAACTTATCTGAGGTCCGTCACTTGAGGTCTTTGGTGGACTATAGACTCCTTTCTCTTGATAGAACAAGAAATTAATTTAATTAAGAAAGGAATGCATATCACTTTAAGATTTCACCAAGGAGCTTTCCTTCCAAATTGAAAAAACTTTCATACTTTCTGTTCATCCAATTTCAGTATCTGATAAAGTGAATTGTAGACTAAGGAAGTGTATGCTTTTAAAAATGAAACAAGCTGATCTTTTATTTTTTTAAAAAACATTTTCTTTTAAATTTTATTCACAACGTGAATGTTCTGCAATGTGATGTTCTGCAATGTTTTCTATGAGAGTCAGCCCCTGCCCCAACTCAGAGCTTTTTAAACATTAGCTCAACCCCAGGGTAAGTTTTGCAAATATATATATATATATATATATATATATATATATATATATATATACTTTAAAAGCAGGATGTACAGCATAACACTACAAATTGGCTGCAGGCTATGGCTTATTTCTACACTATTGACATGCAACCTCAGATATAAAACCCACTTAGTATTATGGGGCCTATTCCTGTGTAACTGTGGCACAAGATTTCAGTGTAGTTTTTAGAATAATTCCCCCTTTCTGGGGAATATTGAGACCTGTTCTGTGAGAGGGCTGGGAACCATGAACATAGAACTCTCAAAATTGTCACTAAATTACAGTTGCCACGATTCTTCAGGGGGAAACGCCATAATAGTTAAACTGGTCTAAAACCAATATAAGTTTTTAATCTTAACTGTATCTAAAGGGTTACCCCATCTCCTTGTTGCCTGTTGTTTTCATCTGCCGTTTGCTGCTATGCATTGCCAGTTTTACAGCTAATGCAGCTGTTTCCTCCTGTCCAGTTCTGCAAAGAATCTTCCCCATCTTTCAACTACCAGGACAATCACTTCCCTTGTCCTTTTGTAGTTTCAAACAAGCAAAGCATAGTTTTGCAACCTTCCCCTTGGAGAAGAGCAGGGCTGGCCCATCCATGAGGCAGACTGAGGCAGTCACCTTGGGCCACGGAATCCAAGGGACAATAACCCCATGGTTACCCTGCCCCTGGAGAAGTGGCGGTGGCAGCTTCTAGATTCCAGAAGGTCTCGCGAGATCTCATCAGAAGCCACTGGAGAAGCAACTGCAGTGGTGGCTTCCGATCAGGGGTATACGAAGTGGGGGGCGGAGGGGTCGGGCCACCCTGGGTGCCACTCTGGGGTGTGTGTGAGACAAGATGACCCCTGCCTCCCCCAGCTGTAGAGTGGCCGAGGGCGCATGCAGTCAGTATGTGCATGTGGCGTCTGTACGGGCTTCCACTCTCACACGGCGTCCATACGGCCACGCATGCGCACTCCATACAGGATGCTGCACATGTATGGACGTCGCACGCGAGCGGCAGCCCATACAGAGTGCACATGTGTGGCATCCTGTACGGAGTGCATGGGCTGCTGTGCATGCACAGTCAGTATGGACATTGCATGTGCACCACTGAGCAGTTGGCCCCCGTCCCTCGGCGTCCTGCCCCGGGTGCCGGAGAGGGTTCCTCCGCCACCACTTCCAGGTTCTAGCAAGATCTCAATGGAAGCCACTGCTTCTTCTCTCCTGTTGTGGACTGGTTGGACGCTGAGGAATGGTGGGAGGAACCAGCTGGGGAACCTCCAGGGGAACGTCCCGGGCCACAGAGAGGTTAGGCTGGCCTCAACTAGAGCCAGGGCTTTTTCGGCTGTGGCTCCAATCTGGTGGAACGCTCTATCACAAGAGACTAGGGCCCTGCGGGATTTGACATCTTTCCGCAGGGCCTGCAAGACAGAGCTGTTCCACCAGGCCTTTGGTCAGGGCACAGCCTGACTCCCTCCTTTGGCAATCTTTAGCCTAATGGTTGCCATCGTTTTGAGTTGAATTAATTTTATAATGAAATGATTTTAGAATGTTGTACTATTTTATTGTTGTTAGCCGCCCTGAGCCCAGCTTCGGCTGGGGAGGGCGGGATATAAATAAAATTTATTATTATTATCATGATGATGATGATGATGGCTCAAAGCCCAGGAGAGATGGTGGGGTGACAATGAGTGGTCAGAGGAAGAATAGGGAGAAGACTGGGAGGAGGAGGTTTCAGAAGCTGAAGAGGCAACGGCTTAGTGAGCTGGGAGAGTCTGCTGGGAAAGTGAAATCCAGAATCAGAGGCAGAAACTGAAGCAGGAGGGAGGAGGGAGGCCAAGAGGCAGAGATGAGTCAGGCCAGTGAAGAGTCATGGGTGTCTCACCTTCCTGCTGCAACAAGCTCCCCTCCCTCCCAGTCTCCCAGAACCAGAAGAGGCATGAAGAGAGCAGAGGAAAGTTAGCTTCATGAAGGCGCAGTTTCAGGTTGCTTGGGAAAGGCCCTGGAGAGGAGGGGACCTTCAGTCTCAGCAACTGCTTCATGGGGGCAAGACCTGCTGGAGATGAGCTGCTGTGCCCATTAGGCATGACACTCCTGTGCAGATCCTGTCTTTGCTAATAAAGAGTTAACTCCAACTTGGTCTGTATGGTTTCCCGCTGGCTCATTCCTGTTAGGCAGCTTCTGCGTTCTCGTGAGATCTCACGGACCTCTCACAAGATCTTGCCAGAACTTGGAAGTCACCACCACACAACCCCAGTAAGCGAGGACCAACAGGTGGGCAGAGGTGGCAGTGGAGGGGCGAAGGCACTTTTCCATTGCCGCAGGTGATAAAATAGGATGGGCCACCCCAGCAGCAGAGAGAGGTTCCAGGATAGCACTGTAGGTCAGTTTTGTCTGGAGGAGGGAGTCCTAGCGGCAACTAGTGATTAAATATCCATTAATTTACAAATGTATATATCAAGCAGATAGCCTTCCAGCAAGCAGGCAGTCTAAAACAACTGAAGCACCCCTGAAGTTGCTCATTCTATCACCTTATCCCACCTCCCAATGTTAACTTCAGCCAGTGCTTGTTTAAAAACAACAACAACACCACACATTTAGGGGTACTCTCATTTTCCTACTCATATTGAAATACTGCTCCTCAGTGAGGCCAAACTTAGATTCACAAAATGTTTAGGGGTATGCATATCCCTGCGTCCCCCCAGAAAAAAAACACTGACCAGCCAATAGCTGGGCAGGTGGCAATGGGCTTTGTTGCATCACTCATATCTTTCCCTTTAACTTCAAAAATTCAAAGCAGCTGGAGGAGGTATTCATTTGAACACAGAAGCATCACCAAGGATGGGAGGGAGTTTAACCGTTTCCTTTGCTCCCCTAAGAGTTGTAATATTAGTTGCAGGGATAGATTTTTACCGGGAAATCAGCACAGGGGGAGAAGGTTAACTGCCTTCCAATATGAAATCAACAGGCACACACACAGCTGTTGTTTTATAAATGTTAGGGAATTCAATCACAGATGTCCTTTATCATATGCAGTTTGGCCTTGATATATTCCAGATGTTTGGAATGTTTGCTGTTCATTAATTGGGAGACTCCACAGATTGCCAACATGTATAAAGCTATACAAAATCTAGAGGGGAGAGGGGCATTTTGCATAACAGAGTATTATGGCTGTAACAGTCTAAATTCAGTCAAAGAGTCTTTCAGCAGCTTAAAGATTAACACATTTATTATGGCATAAGCCTGGGTTTGAGTCTACAAAAGTGTATACCATATTACATTTGGTTAGTTTTTAAAGTCCCATTTATGTGGGTAAATAAATTAAAGTTGAATCCTGAAAATGAACAGGCCTTATATGTTTTGAGTTCTCAAGTCTGGTAGGTGGAGAGGTGACATATTCTGCACTCCCCTGGAAGGGTCAAGTCCATGCCTTTGGGAGATGGGGCTTGTGGATCCAACACTGTCCTTGGAGGCACATGTAGCCTCAGTGGCTGGGAGTGGCTGGTTCACCAGGTACAGTCTCTCCTGGACAGAAGGGGCTTGGTCACTATCAGGGCAGGCCTGTCCATGAGCAGACTGAGGCAAGAGAGGACTGTTGTTATGATGGCTATTTTTTTTTTTTTATTAGGCTGTCTGGCAGTAGGCTTTTTATTATGTTTTTATCATTGATGTTCTGTAATGTGTTTTTAATATTGTACACCGCCCTGGGATCTTTTGATAAAGGGCAGTATATAAATTGAAACAACAAACAAACAAACAAACAATACGCTGACATAAATATATTTTGCTTTGCTGGACCCACCTATTCTGCTGAATATATAGTGTTGTGTTCTGGCTGGACTTGTTTAATCTTTGTAACTGTACGTTTTAGAAGGTTTTATATTACTGCATTGTTCTAACCTGGTCTGAGACCTTGCGGTGAAGGGTGGAAAAAGTATAAACTCAGTTTTCATTATTTATTCGTTTTCCTCCCCCCCATCCCCCCCCCAACAAAAACCACCTGCATGACTCTCTCTCCTGCCTCCCTTTCTTTAACAATGTGGGAACTGCAGTTCCATCTTTGGTGTGGGAGAGAGTAAGGACATTGTTAATTTGTTGCTGCTGCTTTATTTTAACACATGCGAATTACACAAGGGAAACAATCTTTTTCTTTGTCCTAGACTGGTTTCTGCCTGTGGTCATTGCTCAGGACGATCCTACAGGTACGTTTCCTTTAATTCTGCACCAATGCTTCAATCCTAAACAGATGTAAAAAGGTAAAGGGACCCCTGACCAGGAAGTAAGTCTCACTAGACTCAGAACTAATCTATACAGTACTTGTGAGTTATAACATTATATATGTGTTATAAAATGTGACACCAGGGGGCTCTGTACAGCAGCCAATGGAAAACTGCATGGAGAGCTATATAGTGGGGTTTTTTTAGATCGGAGTAGATTCAGCCTCAGTCTGCATAATCATGTTTAGTGCAGTTATGCAGCTCTGTAATGTGGTGTTTGAATGTGTGTGCTCGTATATGGGAGGCAGAGGACGTGGGTGGCGCTGTGGGTAAAACCTCAGTGCCTAGGACTTGCCGATCGCATGGTCGGCGGTTCGAATCCCCGCGGCGGGGTGCGCTCCCGTCGTTCGGTCCCAGCGCCTGCCAACGTAGCCGTTCGAAAGCACTCCCGGGTGCAAGTAGATAAATAGGGAGCGCTTACCAGCGGGAAGGTAAACGGCGTTCCGTGTGCTGCGCTGGCTCGCGAGATGCAGCTTGTCACGCTGGCCACGTGACCCGGAAGTGTCTGCGGACAGCGCTGGCTCCCAGCCTATAGAGTGAGATGAGTGCACAACCCTAGAGTCTGGCAAGACTGGCCCGTACGGGCAGGGGTACCTTTACCTTATATGGGAGGCACATATTAAAGGTCCACACACACACACACACACACACACACACACATATATGCATAGGCATGTATCTGAGCATAAATCATGCATTCCCATGTAAAATATGATATTCTGATAATGAAATAGGACAGCATGCATGCTACATGCTGTGAAGCTGCCAGATTCCCTTCATTTTCAAATGCTTGCTCTTTGTATAGTACAAAATATCACTGAAAGTGCAGAGTGCACATTCAAGCAATGCTTACGAAGAACCATAAAGCACAAACAAAGTATAGCTGGCACTGAAGAACGCTCAAAGTGGTTGACGACTGGCTTCCGGATAAGGTCCTGCTTCCAAGAACTTCCTCAGATAATAACACTTCAAAAGTGTTTTAAGGCCCTGATTGCAGTTTTCATAACTGGGAGGACTTCAGGGATGACTATCTCTCCAAAGAATTTACTTGATTCCAAGAGGAATCAATACCACTGCAAAAGTCCAAAATTATGGGCAGACAAAGACCTTCCAGAAATGTATACTTTACAAGTGCTATGATATTTGTCAGCTGCTTAGAGCATTCTTCAACGATTTTTGTACTGCATGGTTCTTTGTAATGCTGGAAAGTATGTACACATTGTGCTTGTACTGATATTTTGTCTACTTTATTGTAAACTTCCCTCATTATTATCTTGTTGTTCACAGTCGTGTGTCCTTCAGCATTCTTTTGTGGTTTTGCCAGTTACAATGTGACAAGCAAATATTTTCTGGAGAATTTTAAAATGTGGAACTGAGAATTTGCCCAATAGCAGCAGTGTGTGGGTTGTGGGTGGGGGTGTAAGTAAAAACAGCCACATCATCACCCTCTCACCTCTGGGCCTGACCTGTCCTCAGATCCACTAGCAGAATAGCCTGATGGATTGGATTTGAAATTGTTTTTATATATCAACTTGCTTTAATTTTTTATTGTTTGTGTTTTACTGTAAAACTGCTTCAAGATGTTTCATAGGAAATGATTCATAAAGAGAAACAAACAACTGTGTGCATAGCTTCTTCTTGTTGCACATCCACCTCTAGTGCCGAGGCCTATTCACACATGCTGCTTTCTATGATTATGCCTAAGATTTTGTTGATTTTTTTAGTGTGCAGCTTAATGAAGAAGACAAACCTCTGTTTGCAAACACAGGTATCATACAAGTACAGTGGTACCTCGGGTTACATACGCTTCAGGTTACAGACTTCGCTAACCCAGAAATAGTACCTCAGGTTAAGAACTTTGCTTCAGGATGAGAACAGAAATCGTGCTCCGGTGGCACGGCGGCAGTGGGAGGCCCCATTAACTAAAGTGGTGCTTCAGGTTAAGAACAGTTTCAGGTTAAGAACGGACCTCCGGAATGCATTAAGTACGTAACCAGAGGTACCACTGTACAGTGGTACCTCAGAAGTCAAATGGAAGTTGTTCTGGAAGTCTGCTCAACTCCCAAAACTTTCAGAAACCAATTCATCGCTTCTGATTGGCTGCAGGAAGCTCCTGCAGCCAATCAGAAGCCACGGAAGCCCCATCGGACGTTCGGGTTCCAAAGAACATCGGCAAACCAGAACACTTCCAGGTTTGCAGTGTTTGGGAGCTGAAACGTCCGAGTACCAAGGCTTTCGGGATCCAAGGTATGACTGTACGTGCATCACCAGGTCTGCCAAGTGAACACTTGGTGGGAGTCCCAGGTTTGCTGCCGCATAATGTGTGGAATGCTTCTTGGGTATATATATATATATGCACATCCACACTATAACATCCCTTCTCCTTTCAGCTGACCCTACAGCAGGAGCGGCAGATGTGCCAGGTCAGTCCCCATTTTGGTGCACGCAATGCCTTGTCAGCCTTCAGTGTTGGCTCTTTGCTGCTACGAGTTAGAAGATTGCTTTACAAGGCCTGGGGCTGGGGCTGCAGTTTGCAGCTGAGCACCCTACCTGCTTCTCTTTCCCCGATCTGCTCTGGTGAAGAAAGGGTTTGAGAGCACACTTAAGAGGGGAGGAGGGAGGGAGTGGGCAAGTGGATGAGTGCCGACCAACATTTTCTCCCGATGTCTAGCAACAAAGTTTGCATCACGGGCTCCAGCAAATGCTATGCTGGCAGCAGTTCAGTAAGGATCTAACTGGAAATTAAAAACAATAATTTTGGGGGGTTTATTTATAAGGCAAGCAACCTAGTTGCATAGGCTTCCTGACCCACAGTTTGGGAAATGCATCTCCACCCCCATCATTCAGCCCATACATGGAGGTCCAGTGCCGATGACCTTCTGGCAGTTCCCTCCCTGCAAGAAATGAGATTACAGGGAACCAGGCAGAGGGCCTTCTCGGTAGTGGCGCCCACCCTGTGGAACACCCTCCCATCAGATGACAAGGAAATAAACAACTATCTCACTTTTAGAAGACATCTGAAGGCAGCCCTGTTTAGGGAAGTTTTTTATGTCTGGTGTTTTATCGTGTTTTTAATATTCTGTTGGAAGCTGCCCAGAGTGGCTGGGGAAGCCCAGCCAGATGGGCGGGGTATGAATATATTATTATTATTATTAGTTACTATTAATTGCGTTTAAACCCTTTCCCTTTTCCTTCCAGGTGACACTGCCCCATCAACAGCACCTGGTAAGTTCAATTTTGTTCTCTATCCCTTTCTTCTCCTGCTTGCTCTCCCCTGTTCAACCAATGGCCTGACTCACACCTCACATAAAACCATAATTTAAAACAAAATGGGGTTAATGCAGATGATTGGCTTGCTGGTGCACATTGCTCAAAAGGTTTTCATGACGCTTCTCTCTCCCCACTACCCTCCACTGTGCCTTGCATTATCCAAACCTGGGCTTGTAGTTTATTTCCTCCAGATAAACCAGAAATAAACCCATATTTGTTCTGGCCTTAGTGCTCATGGTTTGTTTGGAAGGAACAAACCATGTGCCTGAGTTCAGACCACATGATGAGCCAGATTCTTATTATTTGATCTGTCATTTGGTGGCAGGGGAGCAGCACTGCAGAAACTTTTGAGCAGGTTCAAGCAAATGTTTTAATCACAGAGCTTCCAGAAGTTACAGCAAACACATCCTCATCCATTGGCAGTAAAGTGAAGATGAAAAAAGGTTCCAAACGACTTAAAAAGAAAAGTATTTGGTTTCCTTATAAAACTGATGGTGTTCGAGCACCAAGGCGTTTGAGAATCAAGGTTCCACTGTACAGTGGTACCTCGGGTTACATACGCTTCAGGTTACATACGCTTCAGGTTACACACTCCGCTAACCTAGAAATAGTGCTTCAGGTTAAGAACTTTGCTTCAGGATAAGAACAGAAATCGTGCTCCGGCGGCGCGGCAGCAGCAGGCGGTCCCATTAGCTAAAGTGGTGCTTCAGGTTAAGAACAGTTTCAGGTTAAGTATGGACCTCTGGAATGAATTAAGTACGTAACCAGAGGTACCACTGAAGTTGTTTTTGAAATTTGTGGGTCAACATTGCGCTGGGTGTATCAGTGCCGAGAAATGCACTCATCTGCTGTGAATTTCATGAGGTGCTTTCTGGTTCCTGTATTAGCAGAAAGAATCCACACAGTTCCACATCTGCATATTAAATATTGGCTATTTCGATCTATAGCCATGTTCAGGCATTTGTCTGAGCACACACAAGCTCAAAGTTTGGGCAGCTGCAGGGGTATGTGTGCAAGCCCCACCTCCCACCCCATGTATCTGGTGTACGTTGGCTCCAGATTTCCTGTGCTAAGCAAGGAAGGGGCTTTTTGGTTTGTTCATTTTATTCACGTAGGCTGGGGATTGAGTGGGCAGGACTGAGTCATGTGCAGATACTGACCCCATCCACATTTTGGACTTTTATCTCAATTAGAGTTGCAGAGATTAATAATGTGCATGATTCAAACACTGTTTCCCCTATGAACTCATGAAAAAAAGTTTAGCGCACTTAAAACACACACGTGGCTTGCAAAAGTATTCTATAAAAACAATAAACCTGAATCCACAAAATGTATTAGCCAAAGCTTAAGGGTTAAGGGCAGTGCTATTTTTGTAGAAAAAGAGGTGCTTGAACTCACCATGAACACCTCCCTTATCTCTTAGAATGGCAGTGGCACCCACCTGAGAACTGCCGGGTCTGAGTTCCTATGAGTTCCCCCTGAAAAAGCCCTGGTTAAGGGTGCTAATGGAAACCACTATTGTGAAGAAATGGGTTAATCTAGTGCAAGGGTAGCTACCAATACATCTGGAGATGGCTTGGTGGCGGCAGGAATTTTAAAGATGCTCAGATTATCTGCTTGATGGGACACACCACTGCAGCACTGAATTGGTGCGAATTTGACTAGCCTTCACTATCTCCCAATAAACCCACAAGACAGAGAGACTGCAAGTTGTGTACATTTAAGTCCATGGCCACCACTGTATGCAGGGGTGAACGAAGGCTAATCAACACCCAGGGCAGGGGAAACTGCTGGCTGCGCACGCGTTGCTCCGCTACGTATGACGCATGTGTGGTGTCGCTACATACGTGCGTGGCGTTGCTACGTAGAGTGCATGTGCAGCATTGCTACGTATAGCGCATGCATTGTACGTAGCGGTTTGCCACCGGCGCCACCCAAGCGGTGGTGGGATCCTCTGCTTGCGGCTGTAGCGGTGATGGAGGGATCCCACCGCCGTCTGTATGGCGCTTGGGCAGCGCCGGTGGCAAACTGCTATGTACAGCACATGTGCAGCGTCGCTACATACAGCACATGCATGCAACACCGCACATGCGTTGTACATAGCAGTTTGTTGCCGGCACCGCTTGAACACCATACAGACGGTGGCAGAATCCTCTGCTCACAGCTGCAGCCATGAACGGAGGATCCTCCACATGCAGCTGTGGTGGCGCGATGGCTGCTTGCGCCGCCGCGCCTGGGGGCAGTGGGGCGCGCACCCCATGGGGTGCCTTCTTGTCACCCCCCCTCCCCAGGCATGGCACCCGGGGTGCACCGCCCCCCCTTGCGACGCCACTGACTGTATCTCTTGGGAATAAATTCCACTTTAACTATTCATTGTGTGCAAAGGTACTTCTTTGTGTCTGTCCCAAAACAATACAATTTGTGACATGTGGTGCCCAGAACACTCTACTCAAGTATTCCAAATGTGTCTGCACCATAAAGTAATATAAATGCGTTGTGATGATGACAGTTTCATTTTTGATCCCTAGCATGGAATTTGATTTCCTCACTTGATGTTTTCATGGACTTATCCACTACAACCTCAGGATCCTGTATCTAGTCAGGCATTGCCAGTTCAGAAGGTCTTCCCACTTATTTTCCAGCATTGTCTGTTCCAGATTGAATATACCGCCAAAGTCTGCACAACACAGCTTTTCATTGATTTTATCCCCCAGCATTCTAAGTTGCTTGCGAAATATTTTCTGTGGATGGAGTACTTTGCACAAAATTCAGCATGTAAATAGGATGGCATGGTGTGAGCAGGATGAAATTTCAGTCTGCAAGAGGAAACGGTAGAAAAGTTACTGCAGGCCAGTGCCATTAAAGGAAATATCTCACTTGCTCTCTTGGCAGTCACTTTCAATGAGCCACCATCCCATTGATGTAGCCACACCGATGGCATTAACTTGAACATGTCCCTCTTTGTTTGCTCCCAGAATGCCGTGAAGAGCAATTTCCTTGTACACGGTTGTACTCTGTTCATAAGCCGGTGAAGCAATGCATCAGTTACTTGTGTGTTACCAGGTAAGAGAGGAAACGCTCTGGTAGAAGCTGAAAAGGTTTAGGAATTCTCTGCTAAGATGTCCCATATTCTATGATTCTACAAGATAATACAGATAGTTTTGGCAGGCGTCTTTGGATACGATTTCTTACAATGATCTGTGAAAAGTAATTACTATTAATTTAATTTGTTAGTTGCCTAACAGGGCAATCTCTAGGTGACTTGTAACCAATTTTAAAAACATTTGAAAATGGTTAAACACCATAACCGCCAACATTTAAACGACCAGGAGTCATTTAAAGGGGCAGCTGGTATACCATGGCAGAAAGACAAAAGGATGAATGCCACGAGTGGCACAGGAAGCTGTGAACTATCACTGGAATTTCCCACCCCCACCAGATACTAACCCACCCCATTTTTAGCACAGTTTAAAGCAGGAACTGGCCATCTATTTTCATCCATTTTCTGCAGCCGCAACAGCTGGAGACTTGCTTTTTTGTCCAAATGAAAGTTTCACTTGATCATATTTCTCAGCAATTACCCAGGGCACAGGGCCATTATCTGTATTCCAGATAATGCTGGTTGAGGCTGATGGTAGTTTTGAGTAATCCAGAGAACACCAGACTCTCTAGAAGGCAGATTTGGAACAAGGAAGCAAAGGGCAGGGCAGAGAATTCGTACTCCTCCCCTTTCCCCCAGCAACTGCTTTTCTTTTCCAAATCACAGTCCCCACATCTGCTTTTCCTGTAAAACAAATCAAATGAAAATCCCTGAAATGAGAGGTAATTGACTAGAAATATTATCTCGAGAAAATAAACTAAATAATAAGAAAAATAAAAAAGCTTAAGGAAAAAATTAGAAAAACCTAAAATTGAACAAAGCCTTTATGGGATGTCGGCTACAAACCTCGTTTCACTGAACTATTCAGTTTCCTCAGAAGGAAATAGAAAAGTCATAAACTTTAAATGACAATTTTTTTAAAAAAAAGGGTAGACCCCCCCCCAAAAAATTTCTGAAGTATTATAATCCTAGTTCTACCTAGGTAAAGCGTAGTAAAACAAGCTTGTGTAGGTTCTGTAACATACATTTGTGTGTAATGTGTAGTTCGGCCTTTTGCTCCTCTGCTAGCAATGATTTAGCCACAGTTATTTGTCGGTACCAGTTTTTGGTGCGCAAGGATTTATGTTCCTACTCTTTGCCTTCTCCCCACCACCCACCACCCCTGTTTCTGGTGACAGTGTCCGTCGGACATACATGATAAACAAGGAAATCTGCTCTCGCATTGTCTGCAAAGAGGATGAAGCCATGCAGGGTGAGTAAAGATGTCCATAGGGATGTGCCCCATAAACCAGGAAGAAATAAAGTTGCTCAGTTTCTCTTAGAGGAAGAAGATGGCCTATATCATAGGTGCATGCCCTTGTGTGAATGGCCAACATTCAGAGGCAGGCAACATAGTCCAAGAAGGGCGCTGGCAAATGGGGAAAGGTACAAAAATGGTGAAGGGCTTACTGGCAATAGCAATAGTGGAGAAAACTGAAGACCCAGAGATGCTGTCTTGAATATAAGACCTTTGTGGTTGGAGAAATACATCGCAAAATTCAGATAAGTTCAAGTTTCAAAGAAACGACTGTTTCAGTTCTCATATTGTTCCTGAAAGTGCAGATTTAATAGATTGGCCTTTAAGTACAAGCTGAATTGAATTTCTTTCCCACCCCTACTCCCAAGAAAGTGTCTTGAAATCAGCGCCAGCATCCCTCTGATCCTCTACAGTGGTGCCTCGCAAGACGAAATTAATCCGTTCCGCGAGTCTCTTCGTCTAGCGGTTTTTTGTCTTGCGAAGCACGGCTATTAGCGGCTTAGCGCTATTAGCGGTTTAGCGGCTATTAAAGGCTTAGCGGCTTAGAAAAGGGGGGGGGAGCGAAAAAAATCTGAAGACTCGCAAGACATTTTCGTCTTGCGAAGCAAGCCCATAGGGAAATTCGTCCTGCGAAGCGCATTGAAAAACGGAAAACCCTTTCGTCTAGCGGGTTTTCCATCTTGCGAGGCATTCGTCTTGCGGGGCACCACTGTACTTGGCATATATGGAAGCAAGTTGTCCTTTCTCAGTGGCCACAATTTGAAGAGTCTGAATGGGGGCCATTCTACTTCACAATGCCGCTGATGCTTCCCCCCCTTTAAGTAAAACTACTTCAGGAGGAGAAAATAGGGAGAGAGGGGTGTCAGACTCTTTCCCCGCAACCCTTTCCCCCCTCACAGATGTGCTGTTAACCACTAACTATAATGTACACCCACGTGTGCATACGGCCGGGTTGGAAATTATGTGGCATGGTTAACCCACTCTTGAGCTCCTTCTCTCTCATCTTTCTCTAGAGGAGATCTGCCGTCAGATGGCTGGCCTGCCACCACGCCGCCTCCGTCGCTCGGGTCGCCCTCGAGGACCACCCTGCCGGCGGGCTCAGCTCCGACGACAGAATGCTGTTGATGCTCAGTGACCAACAAACTGCAGGCATGATAAAAAGGAGGAGGAAATGAAATCACGGCGAACCCAGACAGTCTACAACCCAGCATAAGTTTGCCTTCTTCCCCCAACTTCCTGCCTTGGGAGGTGCTCCAGGCCAGGGACTTTCCGTGCCCACATGTCACAGGTGGCAGCTGATGTCACCTTTGAAATGTGATACCAAGACCCACGTATGCTCATGCTTTTGTGTTACTCTTGCCCCAAGCTGCTTATAAAAGCTCTGTTCACACCTGCCTTAATATATACAGATGTGTATACTCAGCCTGTGGGGCAGTAGGATAATGTGCATCCTGCCCCAGAGCTTGGTGTCCCCTGAGCTGTGTGTAACTAGGACTGAAGTTAGCTCTCCTTGGGAGGTTGGAGGCACAACATGCCAACATCCAGGAGTTGCTCGACTTAATTTCTGCATTGCTCTTGCAGTGGGAAGGAAGCTTCAGTCATTGGCACACACCACTTAAAGTTAAAGCCCTGTAAAGATATATTGGTTATTAGCTCTCTCAGCCACCACTGTTCCATAATGGAAATGAGACTAAGCCAGTGTGGGGCTGAGAGATTTGATTGCACATGCACATGACAGAGCTGCAGTGGAAGAGCAGGAAGAGAAATAAATTCTAGTCTGTCTGCGTGGTACTGATAGGTGGACCCCCAAACACCATGGATGCACCAATACTTAGTTTGGTTCTAAGTATGGTTACATCACTGCAGAACATCAACAGCCCCACCTCTACTTCTCACTGTCTCCACTTGGCTGCCTCATTTTTCCACTCGCAGTGTACAACTTGGATCCTGGGTGGTGGTTGTTCCTCAAAACAATTGACTAAGGATCGCCACACAACAACTTTGGTGGAAGAGACAAGAGGTGGGGGAAGGAAGGAGACATGCTGGCTCAAATCTGGCCATAGTAGAGACACTGCAAGGACCACACTGCAAGGTCATGCACAAGCCCGCATTAGTGAAACCTTAAGCCAAGGTCTCAGAGAAGTATAAGCTTTTCAGTAGTACTGCATGGTTGCAGTGCCTGCTTATATTAACCATGGGCTGTCATTGCTGACACAGTGTAGCTGGAAACGGAGAGTTGTTTGCATGAGAGTTGATGGTGGCATCATTGCCCATGATGTATGTGCTCGTTTCTTTTGCCCATTGTTGCCTTTAGCCAAAACTACAAGAGAGATAATTGGGGGGCAGCAACAGTGAGTCTACACACCATGAATAATGATGCCTTTACCAAAGGGATATTGAGACTCTCTTATCCTGAGTCCATCTACTCTGGTTGGCAGCACTTACTGCCACCACCACCTGCTGGTGATGGATGTGCTCTGTCACTGAACTGTGTAGCCCCTCTCTCAGCTTTTGAGATATCTGAAAAAGCAATTCTCGTCTCCAGCTACCGTATGTCCCAAAGGGAAGCTGTTAATTTACTTCTGTGGTACCTTTGCTAGAGCCCTTCATCTCCTGCATATAGTAAACACCTCCACATGTTCTGGTTCCTATTTTTTTAAAAAGAGAAATTGCATAGCAACCTTTCAACATTATTTAACTTAACTCTTTTTACTTAGTAACTCAGGCACCTGCCCCATACGTTACAGCTTCACCTCTTCACTGCCCTTTATAAGTCCTTATTGCAACATGCATCAAAATTATCCAGGCTGCCATCTGGTGCTAGTCCATATGCTGATGCCAACAGAACAATGGTATAAATATTTCTTGATGGCTTTGTAATTACATAACACTTTTGTGATCCAGTGCTGTCCATCAAACTGAATGCAACGGGCAAGGCACTTGGTTGAAGTCTTAGGTAAAGGAATGTAAAAGTATGTCTAGATCAGCAAATAGCAGACACGATATCTGAAGTCCAAGTGGCTAGGGGCACAATCCACCATGGTGTTTTCTACTGGCAAGCCCCAGTAAGACAGTGAATGGGAGCTGTGCTGGCGCACAACTGTCACGCCTGACTCCAGATTTTTTTTTGGGGGGGGGGGGTCTTTGACAGTTTGCTGGGCCTTCCTTACACTGCTGCAATAATTCTGGAGTGTTGTTTTTTAATTTGTCCAGTTCAGAAATAGAGGGGGGGGGGAAGACTGTTCTGTTGAAAGAAAAGTGGGTGTGGCAGAGGGAAGCCAGTAGCAACATTCTTGCCCCACAGAAATATGGCACAGATAAAACAGTGAGAGAAGTGTTTCCAATAGGTAATTCTGACATGGGGTAGCCACCAGGAATTGCTATTTTTGATGCAGTCACTGGTCTTGTCAGTGCTCTGACATGTGCCAGAGTTATGCATCTTACTCATCACCTAATTGCTCAGTCCATACCTTCACCATCTTCCACAAGGGAATGAGCTGCAAACTTGGCATATGGCATGACAAAAAGTTAGTTATTCATGCCGGTTACCGTTTGTGTAGATTGTGTGAACTGAAGCTCCCATATATTTGCAGGGAAGAAATCTATTGAAAAGGGGTATTATTAAGGAGTTTGACAAGTTCACATGTTACTTGCACTCTCTCAGCGCTTAATGGAATGTGTGATTGGTTTTTGCTGACATGTATTCTTTATGTTGTCATCAGGCGACAGGAAATCTCTGTGTGTTGTGGTTCATTTTATGCATGCAAACCATCGCTAGAAGCTGTAGCCAGTGAATGATCAACATTTATATGTGAAACAGCCAAGGAGCAAGTAGTAGGGGAAGAGAGCTGAAAGGAATGCCAATATATTGTACATCTGGCAAAATATACATCAGGAGGCTTAGCTTGGTCAGAATCGAGTATACGCTTGCAGTTACATTACTTCTGGTAAGTGAGCCACCATAGCCACTAGAGGGCTGTGGAAATTTGCGTCCTAGGCTTTTAAGACTCATCTACCCATGTACTATCTGAAACCAAGGGGGCACATTGCTTGCCCCCCAGCTCTCTTACCCCCCACTAAATGGTGGGTAACCTGCAGCCCTCATGATGTTGTTGGATCAGCTCCTGTCAGGCAAAGCCAAAATGGCCAATGATCAGGACTGGTGCTAGACTTTGGGGAGTCCTTGGCATGGTGCTACTCAAGGGCCCTGCCAGTTAGGGCTGGGCTGGGCAGTTGCTGCTGCTGCTGCTTTCACAATGGCAGCACCATTCACTGTTCTCCACCAGATCCTTGGATATGCTTCACTGGTGCTTTTGAACGGGAGCTGAGCTCAACTTCCATCTGTGATGGCCAACCGCCATCTTAACTCGCCCAAAATGCAACGCCTTAGTCCACAGATCTGTGACTTAATGGGGCTGTGGGTTGGGCCTTCTAGTTCAGGTAACCAAAAATGGCAGGTGATCATGGCAGATGGGAGCGGAGCATGGCTCCCACTCTAAACGCCACCATTGCCTGCTATTGCAAAGCCTCTGGGAAGCCATCAAGGAAGGTGGGGAGTGAGGGCATGACTGAGCTGGGCATGTGAGGGGCCCATTCAAGCCCTTAAGGCATTCAGCCAGTGTTGGATCTGGCCAACTGCTTGTGCCAGGCCTGCTAATAGTCAGGGATATTGAGAGCTATAGTCCAGAAATCTCTGGAAGACCACAGGCTCCTCAGCCCTGCTGTAGATACTATATGGTACACAAATTCTTCAGTAGAGTTGGTGACTTTGTTTTTAACTGGCCCTTGTCTTAAGCCTCTAGCAGTGGCTGGATGGGCAGAAATTAAGTTGGTGAAATTTTTCCCATCACTTTATATCGGTGTCTGTAAAAAGGCACAGTAACAAGAAAGAAGTACGATTTGTCTTTATAGAGAATAACTGCCTGATTTTATTTTTTTAAAAAAAGGGATGGCCTTACTGTGGGAAGTTGATATGCATCAGTTGTTAGAAGGCACATATATAATAGATCTAAATCTGTTCTGAATACCAAATGCAAATGTAAACATATATGAATGTATTCCATACTTATTGTACAACATATAAATATATAAAACACGTTCACAAATTTTGAAAGAATGCAAATTATTTCTTATGCTGCTTCACTGCTGTATTTTATGCGGGGTCAAGGAATGGAATTTCTAGGAAAAAAGCACTACATAAACAGAATTTATATTTTATGGAATGCATACACAATTCAAACATATTAAAAGACAACTTGTTTTCCTATTGATCCTTGTACCTGTGCATGTTATGCTTCTGTCTTTAATGTGTGTGTGTGTGTGTGTGTGTGTGTGTATCAGCTGGATCTGCTAAACAACTCTACTTTTTTACCAGAAACAATAATGCAGTCGCACACGTCAGCCAACGTGGCAACCACAATGTGGAGCCACAGCCTAGACACAAGTCTTCCTCCCCAATGGCTGTATGTCACCCTTTCTTCCCAGTGACTTCTTCACACTTTGTATTAGTATATACTTTATCCACCTCAAGGGGCCTTTAAAGTATAAATGTGGGGTACACATTTTTTAGAATAAACAGAATAAATGAACCTTAAATAGGTATTTGTCATTATAAGATAAATTGACTTCCTGTAGCTCTGTTATGGGTTGCTGGGAGCTATCCCTGACAAATTACTCTGTTCCTCCCAGTTTTTGTCCTTTGGTTGTGACAAGCACTTGCAAAGTATTTAGCAGATTGGAGTGTTTTTTCTTGCCTCCAGAGTGTTCTAATCTGCTCTTAATGGCCGCAGCTAGAGGAGACTGTTGCTAATTGCACCCAAAATCTCAGTGGCTTGGATCAAGATTGTGGACCAACACCACCCCTGCCACACTCTCTGTGTTCTGAAACCAGCATTTTTTGTCTTGCACAAGGTTTATGCAGCAAAGTAAGCCTACCATCTTAAGGGGTTTCTGCCCTGATTGTGTGCCACAAGATAGCAGATCTGATCCATCCTAGGGTACAATAATCCACTGAGTTGTTCTCCTGCACAAGCCTCACCTAAATAATTGAGAACTGTAGAAGAGTTCTATAGTGTTAAATTCCAAAGGAGGAGATGTATGAGATCCATACAGAACTGCTTTACACTAAGTCAGATT